TATTTATTATTTATCACATTACTTTGTAATTGGAACCAAGAGCCTAATTATTAAATTCATAGTTTTTTTGGAGACAAATGCATATTATTAAACTGTTCATATTCATAAATATTATCTGTCTGCCTTTTTTTTTATTTTATTTTTTTTTTTTGGTACCGGGTATTGAACTCGGGTCTTTGCGCTTGCAAGGCAGGCCACAGAACCTCTGAGCTACATCCCCAGCCCTCTGTCTGCCTTTTAAAAAAGTGAATGGACTTCTTAAAATGTCTTATTTTTGTTTCTACACTAATTATAAAGATTGATTGCCCAAGTTTTCATATAGCACATTATACTAACATGAGGAGTAAAGGTTATTCGACACCAGTTATGCATAGAATGTGTTGCTAAACAGTTTGATTTTGAAAAAGCAATATACATTGAAGTATACTGTATTCCAGACCTAATGTATTTTCAAACCCTGGAAAATAAGACAAGGTCACTGTTTTTAAGATATAGATACTGAGATTTCACATTCAGCTGTGAAAATACATGTGAACAAAAAATCAAAATAAATGTATAAAATTTTTTGCACAGCCTTCTATATCTCTGTGCCCTGAAAACATTACCTCTACTTGTCTTGATATATATGCATCTTCATTAGAAGCTGCTGTATTTTTAGATAATTCTGATTTCCCACTCTTAATAGTTCAGAAATGGTGTTTACACTGCAGGCAAGTTAATCACAGTATTTGTTCCTTTGCCACACAATTGATGAGTCCGGTAGCAGTCAACTGATTGTACTTGCCTGGGGATTTTCAAACTAGTTTTGAGGAAAAAAAGTCATTCTCTCTCCTTGGTGAAAATGGTAGAAAATGGTAGAAAACTTAAAACTTGAACACTAACAGGAGCAGTACTCAATAATTTTTGAAGAAAGTCAGTTAATGGTAAAAGAGAACCAAACTAACAGAGGGAGAAGAGTAAGTAAATTGAAAGGGAGATGGTCTTGGATCTTGAAATTGAGCTCTTGTCCTGCTCTTCAAGTGGTTTTATGATTTTAACCCTTCCCTAAATTCTGTGAATTAATATATTTCTTCTATGCCTTACTTATTTAATCAGAGCTTTTCATTCATTTGCTGTCATGAAGTTCATAGGGAAATGATACAATAGAAGTGTATGGATTAGACAAAGAGCAACAGCTCTATTGGAGAATAATTTGAGGTTTTTGTTGTTGTTGTTGTTGTTGTTTTTTGTATAATCTTGAAGAGTGAGTAGGAATTGGGCCAAGTGAATTTGTTGGCAAAGGCTACCAAAAAAGAACTGACTTGAAGAAAAGGAAGAAAAATAAAAATTTTCTTCTATTGTAGCTGAGATATCCCAAGAGATACTCTGAAAATATATGATGCCAAATTGTAAATAAGAATGAAATCAGGCCAGTGCAAGTTCATAGCAATCACTAAGCACCTCAGGTTAGCACACAACTCAAAATTCAAATACATCATTGTCTTAGTTACTTTCCTCTCATTGCTGAGACAAGACACTTGACATCCAATGTTAGAGAGGAAAAGGTATACGCAGGTCACAGTTCGTAGAGGTTTCAGCCCATCATCGCTGGCTCCTATGCAGAGTGAAACATGAAAGAGGGGCCATAGGTTGTGGCAGAAGACAGCAAAAGCAAACAAGCAAGGGAACTTCATAGTGTCTTTCTGCTCCTTTTGTGTTACTCAGACTACTTAGGGCAGGTAGCGCTAACATCCTTAATCCTAGAGCCGTAGAGCCTAGCAGTGAACAATGAATCAATCACAAACTCTAAATTCAGCTACCTCTGAGAAAGCCCCAGTGGTGACTGCATGAGGCTTTGCGGGGACATCCAGACACAAGCCATAACAGGTATTTTAATCAACATCTCATTTAAAGATAATCAAGAAACATTTCTGCATAAATCTTAGAATATGTAAAGATCAAAATTAAATTTGTTCTAGCAATTCAATTGTAAACTTTGCCTTAACGTTTCTTCTTTTTTAATGCACACTTTCATCATTCGGTCAGTAGACTATTCTGAACTATGAGCTAAAACCATTCATGAAAAGATTCATATTTGCAAAGTTCTGAAATTAAGAGTAGGAGATCAATTGTAGTAGTTCAGAACACTATTCCTTGACCGTAGATTTTTAAAATGTTATTGTAGGGGCTAGGGATTTGGCTCAGTGGTTTTGCCATCTTCATTGAAAGTACAAGGACCCGAGTTCGATCCCAGTCCAAAAAAAAAAAAAAAAAAAAAAAAA